CATCCTGGATCGGGTTCCAATGAAGAGGGTTCATCCTCATCTTCCTCTTGTTTCACCAGGAGGCAGAAAAGTCTCGTGCACTTGTGCCCTGCTGAGTAGAGTTCATCGCAATTAAAACATTGTCCCCTCGCCCTGCGTTCCRCCATCTCAGCCCTARACAAGTGCTTAATAGGGGGTGCAACGACGCTGCTCCCCACACTGGACGCTGATCTGGAATTGTTGCTCGTTTGTGGCTTCGGTTCTTGGCTGGCTACTGAATATGGAGCCATTCCGAGTGGTTCCGGGGATGCCCATGCTGATGGAGGCCGCCCCATACTGAAGGTTCCGCGGCCGAGTTGTAGTTTGCGTTCAAAGGTGCGAGCTATATTCATGGATGTAACCAGGTTGAGGGGATTCTGCATTTCCACGTCCACCCATAGGGGTTCTGCTAACCCAGCGGTGAACATGTCTACCTGCTGGTCCGGTCGCACTGAAGATGCCCTCGCGAGGAGGGTCTGGAACTGGCGTTGGTATTCTGCCACCGTGTCGGTTTGTTTAAGGTTAATCAACTCGCCTAAGGGGTTGCTTGTCAGTGAGGGCCCAAATCTAAGAAGGTAGTAGGACTTGAACTGGGTCCAACTGAGCCCAGGTTCTTCCTGTTCTAATCGATAGAACTAGAGTTGCGCTTCCTCTGTTAAGTGAAAGGCGGCTAGGCTTACCTTATCCCGGTCGTCTGTCCGTTGATTTCGAAAAAACTGTTCGCACCGATACAGCCAGCCCAAGGGATCTCCGTTGCCATTGTACGACGGGAATTCTAACCTACTGTACTCGGGGATGACTGTGGCCCCCTAGTTGCCGAACTACTGTTCACCGGAAGACTCCGGTAGATTTGGTCGGTGGCCGCTAGTGGCTGTCACCCCTTCTGTGTTCCTCTCTTTGCTAGAAAGGAATAACTCCATCAGACGTCGTAGCTCCCTGACTTCATCCTTGATTTCCCGTACTTCCGAGCTGGTCTCCATGAGCCGGTGCTCGAGTTCGTGGACCCTGGACGGTAGCTGCTCCAGATCACCCATGACGCCTTGCTCTGATACCAAAATGTTATGGGCCCGGGCGTAGGATCTCGTCACGAGTCGGTCCACGGGGAGAACCTCTAGCTTCCCCTTGCCCCTCCCTTTGCGKGCARACCCTATCGTGGCRACCTAAGGGGTGATTTGTCCAAGAGATCACCCTAACTCTCCTCAACTCTTCTCTTGACTGAAATTCTTGGATGCCTTTATTCAATAATAGTGGCTCCTTAAATTGGAGATTA